TATGTAAAACCAAACAAACTTTTCAAACTTTATTTTTAGATGGTTTTACTTATAACTAGTAAAAGGAAACTAGTAAAAGGATCTAATTATATGTTTAAACAAAAATAAATGAAGTAATATGACTTCTTAGGAAATGAGAATATGTGCATAGTACAGTTTTTCAATTTGTTGTAAAGTAAACTTAATTCTTTTTGATTTTCATATTTTTGGATAGCTTATATGATTGTCCTTTGCTTATATGACCCTATTTAGTCTTGCGGGCATAGATGTGATAACTTGCTTAAGAGTAAAAAGGTTTATTTGATCCCGTTCCTTCACTAAAGCTTCGTTTAGTTCATTATCAAAATGCCGACCACTTTTGTAAACTTTGTTGGAAAGTATGCTCCATAGGTCTTCTATTGGTTTTAGATCTGGTCTGCTATATGTTCGCATTTGTTCTTGTTAATAATTAATAGTTCCGATATATTCATGCTCTCAGATATTACATATATCTGCACATATATTTATATATGCTGTACCATATATACTAAATATAGTATACTAACTAAATGCACACATATGTATATGTGTATACTAAAACCTTCTCTTTCTAATATGCTGCGCACACTAAACTATAAACTCAAACTAGCTTAATTGGCTTTTAAAATGAATGTTTGGCTTTATCATTTTTGATTTGGAATTAGATGCATAATTGACATTCAATCTGAGCTGGTATTGAGCATTGAATAGTTTTGTGTTAGGAAATCGTAAAGTTTTTGATTGCAGGCAACAAACTTTTGCGATAAACATTCCTGTTTGGCACGCACACACACAGGCACACACACACATGCATAAATACATACAATATGCGTGCATACATAGAGGCTACTCCAAGGTCTTGTCATGGCCTGCTTCGAAGCCAAAACGATGTGTAGATAGGCAAAGATGATGCCCAGCAACAACAACAACAACAACAACTGCAGAAATACACGCACCAGGAAGGACAACACAGCGATGAGAAATGCCACCCCAAAAGCAAATCGTGCGCATTTTGGCTCTGGGGCATAATATAGTAAAGGACGCAAAAGAGACAAGGAGTGGTAGAACGAAAGAGGGAGAGAGAGAGAGAGAGATAGAGAGAGTAAAGGTAATGACTCTAAGCGGGTCGCGGGAGCCACATGCTTTAACCTGTTTTCCGCAAAGCTTTTACGCACTCGGACTCGGTCGCTAGCTAAATGGAGAGAGAGAGAGAGAGCTAGAATGAGGGAGCGAACGTTCTTACACTTACCTTGCCACCCTTTTTGCTTTGCAAAGCACAAATAGAGCAGAAGAGAGCGAACGAAGGCGAGTGAGAGCATGTGCGTGTGTGTGCGTGTGTGTGTGTGCCCCAGCCTGAGCGATGCTATGCTTTTCTGACGGCCTTTTAGCGTGCGGTGGCCCAGTATCCATTCGGTCGTGTTCCCATAATGTCTGCCAGCGGAGCGCAGTGCTCGTCGCCGTCGTCCTATTCGTCGCAGCCGTCGTCAACGTTGTCATTGTCATCAGCAGCCGCAGCAGCAGCAGCAGTAGCAGAATCAGCAGCAGCAGCAGAGGAGCAGAAGCAGCAGCAGCTTAAAAATACATTTTCACAATGAAGCAAACGGGCGAAGGCAAGAGAAAATGAATTAGTTTGCGCTGTTGAAGCTAAAAACAAATACGAAAATATCAAGCATACAAATAATACAATAAATACAGTTCGAAAAATCGTGTGGAGACACACACAATCGTGAAAATGGCACGCGCGTAGAAATAAATAAAACAGCAACAAAACGATCGGAGGAGACACAAAAAAAAAAACGTGTGTGTGTGTGTGTGTAATAAGAACGCAGCGTATATCGTATACACACATACATATACACTCATCTATGTATGTATGTAATATATATGTATGCAGGAACAGGAAGCCCAAAGGCAGCCCGGCGCAGCGTATAAATATAAAGGCCAAAAAAAAAAAATCGAATTGAAAAGCATGAGCAACAGCAAAAAAAAATATACATTTTGTTTTCTGCGCTGCCTTTTCTACTCTTGTGATTTTTGTCGCGTGAAAAATGCCAGCGGAATTTTCATTTGAGTTTTAAGGTTTTTTTTCGTTGCCTTTTTTTTCGCATTGCCTTTTTGGTGTATTATACATACACAGCGACACACGTTTTTCACACAACAAACACACACATACGCGCGCACACACACGCGTTCGTTTCGTTTCGTCTCTCATTTCGTTTTTCGTTTATTGGTTTCGCGTCGCGTTCGTGTCGTTCCGGTACGTGTTCGTGTGCTCGCCCCACAGCCGAGCGAGCAGAGCGCTTGGCGCTCTTCTTCAGCCCGTGTGCAGTTGTTTGTTTGTTGTTCTTGTAATCTGTTAACATAGGAAGCCCTGTAAAAGTTTTGGGCACACACACACAGCCCTGGCAAATGGCGCAGTTTCATTTTATTTATTTAGTTTCGCATCGAAATATGTGTAGCATAAATAAACAGTAGCTATAAAATGCTGCCAGCATCTCGTTCAAACAATGCAACGCGGCAAACTTCCATTTATATTAATGTGCACGCACTGACAACTCCCACTCTCTCTTTCTCTCTTGTCTCCCCCCATTTGATTGCTCTCCCACGCAAGCGCAGGCGTTTTAAAGCTCGTTGCGCTCTTTACAACACTAAATCTCCGACAGCCGCAACACAATTTTGAGTACAGCGTGGCCTGTGCTGTGCCAAAGCTTTTGAGACGGCGACAGCTGCTGTAAACAGTTGCGGGGCGACACACAGGCACCAGGGTATGGGAATAACTGTGAACAGGGTAACATTGAGCACATGCATTCGCATTCCGGGCAAGGTATTATTTCTTCTTCTTGGCGTCAATGCAATGCTCCAAATTGTTGTTGTTGTTTTATTCTTTCGTTTTGTTTCTTTACATATTTCTTGGTCGTGTGGCACAGGTCGTATGCGTGTTTCTTATTACGGGCGACTACGTCATCCATCTATCACCTGTATTCGCGTCTTATTCTTGCCCTCTCCTTTTGCGCCTCTGTTTCTCCAAATCATGCTGGCATTTCGCGGGTATTTCCCAAGCACACAATTGCGAAAATATAAAATGGCATGACTTGTACTTGGGCGGATGGGCGGGCAGGCAGCCAGGGTTGGGCTTACGAATACTGAATGGGTATCCATTTTGTGCCTTTAACTTGTTCATATTTCGCTTTTGCGTTCATTTTGTCGCTTTTAAGTGCCAATGCAATTCGCTTGTTTGTTTGCTTATCGTCTCAAAATTGGATTTTCCTCTAAAGGCGGCCCGAGTAAACAATTCGATTTATTTTTGTGGGCTTTCGCTAATTATTTCTTTATATGATTATAAAAGGGCATTGCATTACGGTGTAATACCTTAAGATGTGTATAGATGAGTGTATATGCACATACACATATTCATATACATACACATATGCATAAATTGAATGAATCACAAGTTCTAAGACTTGAAATAATATATATTTTAGCATTTATTGCCAATATTAATTCCAATTGAACTGCGTTTTTTAGATGTTCTAGTAATTTCGAGCTCAATTTTTGGGCTTTTTGCAAAAACTTTTCTCTCAAAGTAATCTATTCCCTTGCGAAAAAAAAAAAAAAATATCTTGGACATCTTTGTCTATTTAAGCTTCCATTTATCGTTCAACAACCCCTGCGCAGACCCTCAAAAATGAATTGTTACCTAAAGAAAAATAAGAAAACTTGTAGCAATCAAAAAATTAGCATAATTATGTTGAAAAGTGAACAACGAACCCGCAAACAACAATAACAATAACAAAAACAACTGGTCAAAGACTCCACAGAGAGAGCGAAAAAGAGAGAGAGAGCGAGAGAGAGGGGGAGAGAGAGTCGGTTGTGTGCAAAAAGCATCCCTTCGCCGAACTATGCGGCGCTTTTAGTTCGTATCCTGGGGCAGGCTGAGGCACACGCATTTCAATTACACAGCTCTCCACGTTTTGAATATCAAAATAAATCGTAAACAAGGTCACATTCCGTGTGCGTGTGTGCGTGTGTATATTAATGCCACACAGATACACACACACACACAGACACAGACAGAGAGACAGAGACAAGTTTTGTGGATAGTCTTGAATCGTTCAACTTATTGAAACGCGCTTCTTTCAACTTGCAGCAAAATGTGTGCCACAAACAACAAATCAAAGAAATTCTCAGTTAACCTGAACTCCATAGACAACAGAAAGTGAACAAATAACGAGTTAAACAAAATAAAGAACATAAGAATCCAAACTAAAAGAAAAGCTTTAACTAAATAATATTTTTAAACTATACAACTATACATATACTAAGTAATAGTTATTAAAAACAAAAACAAAAACAAACAAATACTTAGCTGTAAGCTGTAAGGACATATATTAATAATAATCATAAGTGAGAAACTTCGCAAGTGCAGAGACCAAAATATTAAAAAAAAAAAACAAAAAAAAACCTAAAGGCAGTTTGTGATTCTCGGTGATATGGTGTAAATGTGATAAACAATGTTATAAAACGTTTTAATGTTAATTAAAAGCAAAACAACAATAACTACAACAACAAACTCTCAGTAAATTGTGTTTTTCGATTCTACGTCTTTTCGTTTTGCAACATTTTTGAAAAACAAACCAAAAACCAAAAAAATTTAAAAACAAACTAAATAATCAACAAGAATAATAACTATACTTATACTATATATACACACACACACATATATATATCTAAACTAAACTAAGCCTTGTCTCTATAAGCGAGTTTAAAATATAAATTAAAAACTAACTTTAAGTCGCACAAAAACAAAAAAAAACTAAACCTAAAAAACTGTGGCTCAAAAAGGCGTCGAGATTTTTTTAAATATTCTATCAACTGCACTGCCGGCATATTTTTGACAAAATATGATTTTACTCTAAAAAAAAAAAACTAAAAATTAAAAAAAAACCCAAATCCAGAATAAATACGTACAAAAACATAAAAAACAAAAACAAACTCTAATCGTACGCAAAGATTCTTATGAAACCAAACAAAAAGACATCAAAACTGCAGCCAATAAAAAGAAGTTGGAGCGTTCAACAAAATGCAATAGTTTTTCTCACACGCAAAGGTAAAGCTAGGATAAACCTTGACAAAATCTTAAGATTATTCTTCTTAAGATAATACATATATAATATTTCAGTTAGCTCTAGTCGTAATACTTATACTACAAAACCAATCATGTCTCCAATTGAAGTATTAAATCTTCATATCCCTTATATTTTCGATCTGGATATAGTCTATCTGTGGATCTGTTTGGCATTTTTTCTTGCAAGGATTCATTCCTTTGATTGTCTCTTTATATCATATTGATCGAAATATCGTGCTAAAATTGAGTTCCTTTTATAAACAACTTGTTGGTTCGTTTATAACTTTCTTTCAAAACTATGTTAATATTGAAATATATCAGACATTCGAAAGGCTTGCTAGCATGTAAATATATATTGATTTTTATTAATTTTTATTATATTCTTTTCCTAATCCCATTTGGAAAGTTTTCTAATTTTGTCCTCCCATATAATTAAGACGGCCTCGACCCCATAAAGTATATAAATTCTTGATCAGCCGAGTCGTAAAGCTCCACAAAGTACATACTTTAACATAATCCTAGTCAAGCAACACGTAAAGTATATAAAATCTTTATCAGCCGTAAAGGTATCTCCGTTTATCTGTCTCTGAAGAAGTCTTGATTTTCGGAGAGGACAAATTAGAAACCTTTTTGCAACAAAAACAAAAGAATAATATTTACATAAATTAAAATAAATATAAATACATGCTTGCAAGCCTTTCGAATATGCGATATATATTCTTATTGACATAGTTGTTAGAAAGATAATGTTCAGATATTTAATAATAAGTTTTAACAATATTCAAGTTAGAGATCTATAGAAAAATCATTTGAAGAAATGTTGTCTATTTGTTTGGGGAAATCTTTATGACATGTTAATGAAATATTTGCCAACTTATTCTCAGATTCTGAATTGTCAGATATTTCCAATTTTGAGATATAACATATATAATTGATATAATGCATTTCCGTTTCGTGTCTTTTCTTTGCAGTACATTTTACATAAACTGTGATTATGAGTTCCACAAAATCTCAAGTAGCCCTTGCTACAAATATTCCAACCAACTTAGCCTCCGCCTCAGCCACCTCCACTGCGGCCACCGCCGTTGTTGTTGTCGCCGCCGTTGCCAGCAACAATTCAACGACGTCACCAGCAACTGCAGCAACTGCAGCAGCAGCGGGAGCAGCAGCAGCAGCGACTACAACTGCAACAGCAGCTGTGACGTCATCGACAGCAGCCGCAAGTGCAGCGACAACAACAGCAACAACAATAACAACAGCAGCCAGCAACAACAACAACAACAACAACAACTGCAACAGCAACAACAACGAGGAGCAATCGAACGCCTCCAATTTGGGGCGTCAAAACAGTTTTGGCAATAAACGCGTAAGTTTAACTACTCAAAAAAATCAAGAATCTAGTTGCATTATATGCATCTAGCATATATCTAGATATATATATATATAGGTCAGTTTGAGCTGAGCGTGTGCTCATTCTCTGCGAGATTCTCTCGCTCTCTTTCGCTCGCGACTCTGCACATGCAGCCATGAACTGGAACTGGCCTGGCACTGGCCCGTGCGACAAAAAGATACACGCCCAAAAAACTGCATAAACTGGGTCAGGTCAGGTTGTTTGGGTCTGGCTGGTTTCTAGGTATATTGGAAATGCAATTGCTGGAAATTCCCAAACGCGACGTATATAGAATTTCATAGAATTTCAATTGAAAATGTACTATTTTGATTGTTGCCCAGACGACGGACTCAGCGTTTTTCATCAGCGGAGTTCAAGGTTTTTGTGTGGGTGGCAAGTGTTTGTTATTTTGTGTGGCATGTGGCAAATGGTATGTGGCACGTGGCATAGTTCAATTTTAATTGTTTCTAACAAGTGCTTCCCAATTTAACCACAAACAAATGCCATGCCCAAGAATTTGTAAAACAGCAGCAGAGGCAGCTGCGACTCTGCGACTCTGCCCCAAGGTCGATTTATTGATTTTTCCCGCGAACTGATGACGTTCGCGGAAGTTGGCCAACACGAGGCTGTTGCCTGCACTTTTTGGCAGTTAAAAAAAAAAAAAACAGAAATCAAAACAAACAAACTGCCAAAACAAATTTGTGAACTTGCGGCTAAACTTTTTGACAGCTAGTGTCAGGTGTTTTAACTGTAAGTTAAATATGTATTCAAATGTTTGAGAGAGAGAATCAAATGGGCTATAAAAATTGCACTGAGCGCGCGATGCGGGAGTAGGAGAAGAATATCATAGAGAATATCTTATATAGAATATAATATAAAATAAATTATATAGAATACAATATAAAATATATTTTATAGAATATATAAAATATAGAAACAAGGCAAAACGACAAATATCACAGTTGATGTCCCTGATACGCAGAGAATGTGGACTCTGATTTGCTCGTTTTGCTTCTTGTTCGTTGCTTGACGCTTGCAATTCTCAACTAGTTTAAGCCTTGAAAAGGGCACAAGGCGTTTGCAAGCATAGATACGATAGCAAAGTCTGCTGATGATAGAACCGGAAGGTTCTTGGTCAAGATAAACAGATAAACCATATACCAGATATATGTTCTCTGTCTATAAAACAATTGAATACTAAAACAAACTGTGGTCGGTCGTAAATAAGAACTTATAGAAGAAAATAAAGTTCGATCAAATTGTCTTAACTAAGCGCCAAGTCTTCACAATATTCGAGTGCTCATTGTACTTACTGCTAGATTGATGACATACGACCGAAAGCAAATGTAGCAACAATAGAACATATATTTAGAAATTAAAAACTTGTACTACTTAGTATAGTATATAGATTTATAATTAAATTTTCTTACTTATTATGAGTGCTAGTTGTAAACAAGAGAAAATGTGCACATGCTATAAACATTCAAAGCTATATAGGAAAACCTATTCAATATTTAGTTCGAAAATATGTTTAGTGTATATTTATTTTGATTTAGTCAGTGTTAATTTGGTGTAGACAGCTCACTGAGCAGAACATTTGCACGAGCTGGCCCAAAGTGTTGTGTGCTCAAGGTTTGGCTTTGACTTTGACATTTGCGGTTGGCTTTATTGCTTTTATTTTTCTGCCACGTCACACGAGGGCCACTTCTCAAGCAGCAGCTGTCTCATAAGCGCACCAAAATCGACTGATTAATGATGTTCAATAAGTTCGACTTTCAGGCGACGCGTGTGCATATAAAAATCAATGAATAGCTATGGAAAACCCAACCAAAACACGCCAGACTAACTGATGAACTAACTGGCTGACTAACTGATTGGCCGATTGACCGACATTAAAGCCGACTGACTGACTGACTAACTGATATCGTGGCGTTGTCCTTCGTCGTGAGTTGAAATGTCAAAAGGCAGCCAGGCTATGAAGCGATTTATGTGGCTGGCAAGGCAACATTCACAGGCACAAGTTCAGGTTCAGGTGAGGGTGTGATTGCAAGAGCGTGCGCGACATATAGATGCCCTGTAACACATGTTTTTCAGTATTTATGTACATATTATGAGCTAATTTGTAGCTCAAAGGCACTTGTTTCACTGCTGAGGCAAAGGAATTTTGCATGATTCCACGCTCAAGGGTGGAAAATGTGTGAAAATCTGTTTCATGCAACCCTTTTATGCAATCGATTGGTTTCAAGTTCATTTGGAAAGTTATTTAAATAATAACTTATTAAAGACTACATTCACTGCTTTTGCCAAATCCACCTACGCGTACGAAATAAGGGTGAGAAACTCTAATTTCGATTTTTAACCAAAATTACTTGGCCAAGGCAAAGCAAATGAATACCAGCTACTATTTGAAAGGGCTTTTTACTTTTGGACCCATTTATATAAAAGGTACAGGGTATAGCCGGAATATTCCAATGCAGACATTGGTTTTTCCACCAACCTGCTACCTTTGATCTCCTGTGTGTGTGCGGATCGTTAACGTCGCCTGGGCGGGCATTTGTTTAACATTTTAATGAGCCAACAATTGCATCACGGTCAACGTCATCGCAAGCAAGGGCTATGGCAACGGCTACGACTATGGCTATGGCTATGGCTATTGGTTGCCCTGCTGGCTGCCTTTCGGTCTGTCAACTTTGGCATTAAATTAGTGGCAGCTAATTCGAAACTAATTGCTTTCACTCTGCTTACTTTACTTACTTGGAATAGGGCAACATGAAGGGCAAACATCTTACACGCAGTCATGCCATGCGCGAGTCCACATCGCCGCCACGCACGCCAACGCCGCGAGGCGTTGCCGAGCAACATCAGCAACACCCCAGCGATGCCCACGAGCACAACAACAACAATGCCATACTTAACAACAACAATAATAGCAATACAAATACCAATAGCAAAGCACAATCAAGTGGACGCGGCAACTCGCCGTTGATGGAAACGCCCGCTGTGATTGTTACTAGTCAGCAGCAACAGCAACAGCAACAGCAGCAGCAGCAGCCGTTGAATGTGCCGCTGCGCGACGAGGCTGAGTTTCCCAAGTTGTCGCCGCCCAAGAAATCTGGAGCTGGACATCATAATCGCACCAATAGCAATGGCAGCTCTGGCATTGAATACAACAACAATAACAACAAAAAGTATGTGGTAGACATGAAGGCCAACGGACTGGACAAGCATCACAACAACAACAGCAGCAACAGCAACAACAGCCACAACAGCAACACCAACAACAACAACAACTCAAACAACAACTCGTCATCCGCGCTGCTCTACAATTCGGGCATGAATTATAAGGCCGCCGAGCGTCATGAGCGCCATGAGCGTCACGAGATGTCCAGCCAGAATAGCAATCTCAGCAATAGCAATCACGAGGAGGAGCTGTATCACTATGAGCGCGGCTCGGGCGGCGGCGGCGGTGGCAAAAAGCATCGCGCCAATACCAACTCGAAGGGCTCCAAGCCGCGCTTGAAGAACCTTAGCTCGTCCGGCAGCATCGATGGCGGCAACAGCATGAATTGTGGCGGCGGCGGCGGGGGCAATGGTCAAACATTGGGCGGCAACAATAATTCCAACAATTCGAGCAACAACACCTCGGGCTTTATATCGCGCGGTAAATACTAGCATCCTTGACTCCTGCCAGGATGCAAGGATGCTCTCTAATATTTGCTCATAGCTCAATTCATTGATTCTAGTCTTTCATCAATCAGAAAACTCGAGTGAACAGTACACGGACTTCGGCGGCACAGATCTGTTGACATTCTTTCGCGATACGCTCAATAAGAATCCCAAGGATAGAAATATTCTGTTGAAAATCGAAAAGGATTTAATGGACTTCGTACAGGAAAAGGGGTGAGTGCTTATTAATTTTAGCAAGTATTCGGAGTATTCCATCGAAAAGAGCGAAAAATGGGTGGGAACTGAGTTGATGTACCCAGCACATGAATCTAACACCTGTTTTTCTCACCTCTTCCTTAGTCGTGGCTGTGAGTTTCGCTTTCCGTCGACCTCGTCGTACAATCGCATGCTGATACATCGCACGGCTGCTTTCTTTGGCATGGATCACAACGTGGACTCGGAGACGCAGCAGTGCGTCATTGTGGCCGTCACCAAGGGCACACGCATACCAGAGGTGAGCTCTTGATCACATATATTAACTATATCATCTATGTAATAACTGTCTGATCTGCTCACAGATTCGCTTCAAGTCGCTGGTGCGTGCTGATCATCGCGAAGATGCGCGCAAGTCAATTCTGAAACGGGATACGCACAGCTTCGATGAGGTGCGTCAGTCGCCGTATCTCTGCCCGGAGCGTCTCATGCTCGACCGCAAGGCCAAGAGCTTTGAGGAGCGCGAGGAGGATTACGATCGTGCGCGCAGTCGCATCTTCAATCGTACCGCACAGCAGGACGGCTACCCAGGCGACGATGACGCTTATGGTGGTGGCTGGCACAATGCAGTCGAGCAGCAGCAGCAGCAGCAACAGCAACAACAGCCGCCCAGGCCCAAGCGCCCCAATGGCAAAATGCTGCAGATGCAGAATGTAAGTTGCCCTTGTCCTCGTACAGCCGAGCTGCCTTTGCTAATTGTTTGCTCCTCGACAGTCGACGGAATCGCGCGATGGCGGCGGCATGAGATCTGGCGGTGCTGTGCCCAAGTCTCATAACTTTGGCAATTATGGTGGACCGCCCAGTGCTGGGGGACCCGGTGGCGGCGGCGGCGGTTCGCTGCCGCGCGGCGACTCAACCAATTCGAATAAGAGCGGACGCGGCGGCTTTGCCAAGCAGGACTCGACCGGCAGCACCAGCACGCCCTGGCGCCTGTCGCCCTCGAGCAGCGGGTGAGTAGATTTTAGACTATTTTGGTGCTTGGACCCAACATGCCATACCCAATTCGCTCGCTCTCTCTTTCTCTCTAACCTAACCAAATACGAAATTTTGAAACTGTTGTTAAAATTGCGAAAAACATTTTTGTATGCCACCCCAAAACAACAAACCGACAACAACAACAACATTTACCAAAAAAAAACCAGCTACAAGACACGCACCCAATCCGTGCGCTCCGATTCCGTAACGCCCTCGCCCACGGGCTATGGCAGCGATAGGCAGACGCCGGAGTTCAGCCAGCCGCCGGCGCAGGGCACATCCTCCAATCGGGGCATGGCCTCGTACCTGCAGCAGCAGGCAGCCGCAGCCGCAGCGACAACAACACCAATTGCAACAACAACGTCCAGCACACCAGAATCGGCGGCAACAGCATCGGGACTCGTCTGGGCCGTCACAGACATTTCGAGTGTGCCAATTGGCAGCGTCCTCATTGATCCGCAAACCCTCCAACCAATTCTCAATGCAGACGGGTAATTTACAAAAAACAAAAACACACCAAAAATCCAGCAACAACAAAAATTCAATCGCCACCAAATTTACGAGAACTTTAATTATTTTGTACTCAAAAAAAATTCTATTTTATTTTTTATTATAAACGCAATGCTTTACTTTGGTTCCGCCAATTTTCTTATAGTTCTTACTAAAAATGTATTATATAAAGTGTCTAATCGATTTTTTTTCATTCGCAATTTGCAAATTATTCGAATTTTTTAAATCATTTAAAAACATTAAAGAAATCTATATTCGAAGATGTTTGTATACGGATTATATAGAACTAATTTATGCTTTTTGTCGGTCAGTCTGTTTGTTTTCTCAAGAATTATTGGATTATTTTGTTATATTCGGGAGAGCCCGACTAGGGGATACCCTGAACCCACTTCTGCCAACAACAAATGCAAAGCGATTTAATCTTGTAATTTATGTATTATAGATTTTGAATTATAGCTCCCATTGCCGGTGTCGAACTCGCAACCACCATCGCCCCACACCTTACAGACATACCATGATTTGCTAGAAAAACAGGATTTCGAAATCGATTAACTTTTGACTATTCAAGTTCAATTTTTACAGGGATTATATATGTATATATATATATATTGTTTGTTTTGTTTTAAGCCATAGAACACAATTGATTTCGAATATTGCATTTAATATATATACATACGCTTACGCGGTGAGGGTATTCGCACTTCGGCATGCCGATGTTAGCTTTTCTTTATTGTTTTCAATTGATATGCCTTTTCATAATATCGAATTTGATCCAAACAAACGCGTGCAAATTATTTAATTTATTTTCGCATAAATATTTATTATATATATTTATATACATACATTATGAATGGCATTTCGATGTGCTACTTTCGACTTGTTGATGTTGTTTTTGTAAATTATCTGCCTTAAAATTAAATCAAACCAAATCAAATCAAATCAAACATCGCTCGCTCGCTCTCTCAAATGTTTATGATTATGAGTATGTGTATGAGTGCTGAGTCCACGCAAACAACTCTCTCAGCTCTTCAGCCGCCACTTACGCTCTTTCGCTCTCACGTGCTCACGTACTCACGTTCTCACCCGTACATCGTCCACACACTCTCACATGCGCGCACACACATGCAGCTCTGTTGCTCTCTCGCTCTCGCTCTCAGCTCTCAGCTCTCATACTCTGTTCACCAGCTTTGTTCAGATCGCCTGCGCTGCCGTTGTCTCTTGTCAAACTACCAGTTAACTGTTAACTGCCAGTTAAATGTGTCGACTGTCAGTGTTGTCGTCTAATTGTTGTTCGTTCTAATTGCATTTGCATCTTTCTCTCTCTCTCTCTTTCTCTCTTGCATCAAAAACGCATTTGTTGTTGTTGTTTTTACATAACTTTAAGTAACCAAAAAAAAATATATATATATATATAAAAAAGAAGTCTGTCGCTGCCGTCGCCTTCACTGCGCGCTCTTTCGCAAAACTTTCTAGCAATCCTGACAACAACTGTACTTTCCTTTATTTACTTAACCTCACACTCACATTCGAATACCGCGCCACAATTTTGCATGCCACGAGCGAGTATCCAAAACCACATCCAAACCCAAGAGTTGCCCAAAATGTATTTAACTACATTTTTATATTTTGCCTGCTTGCAGCTCCATTTACCACTACGACCCGTCCAATTTGCCGCCGAATCAGGCGCTGCAGCACGGTGGCAACAATGGCGGCAACTATCAGACGAGCGGCAACTATGCGCCCAACTATCGCAAGTCCTCGCCACATCAACCGCTGCCGCCGTCGCCAATGCAGCAGCAGCAGCAGCAACAGCAGCAGATCTACAACAATGAGCTGTCCTGCAGCTCCACGGAGAGCTATGCCGAGGAGGCGCAGTCGCCGGGCATGGACTGCTCCGACAGCTACGAGAGCTACCAGAACGAGCAACAGCCGCAGCAGCAGCAGCAGCATCAGCAGCAGCAGCAGCAGCAGCAGCAGCAGCTGTGCGATTCGAACAGCGGCAAGGGCGACGAATGTGATAGTCTGTCCAGTGCCACGGCCTGTCTGAGCATTACGACCTCGACCTCCACCAAGAACTATGATCGCATCGAGGTGCAAAAGTACAAGAATCAGGCAACAAGTCCCAACATACCCGGCAGCTGCGACAAGGAGCTGGAGGCAGCGGCACAGCTGCAACAGCAGCAACAGCAACAACAGCAGCAGCAGCAACAACAGTTGCTGGAGCCGGAAACGGAAACATTGGTGGCCACAGCCAGTGTTGTGTCAGCGCCAACGGAGCTGCCCGCCAGCCAAACGCCGTTGCCAGCGGCGTCCTCGTCGGCTCCATTGAATTGTGATGCGCAATCGGTGTCGCCCAGCAGCACGCCCTACAGCCAGTGCGAGGTGGTGAAGCCGGCCAGCCAGAGCCAAGCTCAGTTAGTTGCCGAGGAGCCGAAGACCACCACCTGGGCATATACGCAAAGCTACCAGGCACCGGATGGTTCCACCGTTTTTCATACCACAACCACGCCCAATGGCGCGGCGCCCTACACATATCAGCAGGGGGTGAGTAGGGAAGATCCTAGTATGAACTTGATGAAAAAACTAATTCTTTTCGTTTACAGCCCGATGGCAGCATCTATGCTGTGCCCCAGGGCATGGTCTACACAGCGTATCCACAGCCCACTGTCAGCGGCGCCGCCTCCCAGCCGCTCTTCCAGCTGGCGAGCAACAGCCAGCCAGCACAGGCGCTATTTGCCTCACAGGAGGCAGCCGGTGAGCTGCCCGGCACCTACATGATACCTGTCTACGAACCGGCCCAGCAGCAGCGCGATGGCTTGATACCCGCCCAGGCCATATACCAGACGCCGGCTGGACCAGCTACGGCTGTGATGCCGATGGCCACCGCCACCTATCCGACAGCACAATTCGCTGCCGCTGCTCCTAATGGTGCGCCCATTTATCAGGCGCCGCTGATATACTCCAGCGATCCGCCTGCCGCTCAGCTACAACAGCTGCAACAGCTGCCGATGGCCACCTATCCGATTGGCTATCCGTATCATTACTATCAGCCCATACCCTACTATGTGTCGCAGCAGGCGGTCGCAGCAGCGCCCATGGTAGCCACTGCAGCAGCTGGACAGCCGCCCACGGGGCAGACGTCGATCCAGGCCCAGGCGCAAGCACAGGCACAGGCTGCCGCCCAGCTGAATCTCGCAACTGCCACAGCGGCTGGTCCGCCAACGGTAGCTGGCGGCCAGCAGTCCGGCAATGGACACAGCTCCGGCAACAGCGCTGCTGGCGGCGGCGGCGGCGGCTATATGGGCGGTGCACGGGTCAAGCGTACGCCCGGTGGCGGCTCCATACATTACAATGCCAGCTATCCGCCAACTGCGGCTGGACATGCCAATGCACAGGTCACACATCATCCGGGCGCCGGTACTGCCCATCATCAGCTCATCAGCACGCCCGGCGCCAGCACAACGACAACATATCATGCGCTGCCTACGCTGACATTGGCGCATGGCGGCGCGGGGGCCAATTCCGATCTCAATGCGGCCGCCGCTGCTGCTGCTGCAGCCGCTGCCGGTGCTCACGTTTATGCGGTGCCCGCCCAGCATGCCACGGCATTGATACCAACCAATATATTCCCGTATGCAACGGGCCAGCCGGGCGCACAGCAGGCGGGACCGCATAATGCGTTGCTCCAGCAGCAGCAGCAGCAACAGCAGCAGCCACCGCAGCCGCCGCCGTCGCAGCACACGGCACCACATCATGCTCTGATCACAGCCGCACCCTTCTATACGGCAGCCAGCGGTTCCATGGATGTAGCTGCGTCACAGTCAGCGCCCAGCACGCCAGCAGCGCCCGGACGTCAGGCGCCGCTGTTCAGCACACCGCCAGCGCCCAATGTTGGCGGCAGCGCCAACAACAGCAGCAGCGCCGGCGGCATCTCTGGCGGAGCGGGCGGTGCGGGCTATCACAGCAACAGCTCGACGCCGCACTACTATCACAGCCAGAGCAGCAACGAGGGCGGCTATGGCACACCCTACGAGAAGCGCAACAATGCCAGCAACCTGGGCTCGAGTGCACCCACCGGTCGCAAGCCCTACCATCCGGGTGGCTACAATCCGCGTCACTCGGTGCCGCTGGGCGGCATGCCGTCGGGCGCCAAGACGCCGTTGCTCAACTCCAACAACGAGCCGACGCCGCGCGCCTCGCCCAGCAGCATCAGCCTGGGAGGCGGACCGTCGACCTCGTCGAGCTATCATCATGCCGCGCACCGCGGACCGCCGCATGCGCTGGGCAAGCGCGACAATAAGCCCACACAGATGCCATTAATCAGCGGACCACCGCCCAGCTATGCCACATCGAGCAGTCCAGCTGGTGGCGGCGGTGGCGGTGGCTACGAGGCCAAGCCTCCGATGCGGCTGAATGCGGGCGCCGCCAGTTTTCGCAGCCAGAAGTCGATAAATGCGGACTTTCGACGCAGCGTCTCGCAGCGCAACTCGCCAAGCGCCAATGGAGCTGGTGGCAACGGCGGCAACAGCAGCCACGAGAGCAGCAACAACTCGCCCAACAGTATTGCGGGCGGCGGCGGCGGTGCCGGAAGCAACAACAACAGCGCCGCCAACACGCCCAATGCACCCAATGCACCGCCCGCCGGCAGCCTGGGCACACAGTACATTGTGGTGGATCATTCGACGGGTACCGCTATGAACGCCTCGCCGCCATCCATTTACCTGAGTGGTGGCGGCGGAGGCGGCGGCGGCAATGCTGGCGGCAGCGGTGCCGGACCGCGTACATCGCACATTCCAGCCCAGCTGCATCACAGCGCCGGAGCAGCAGCAGCTGCGGCGGCGGCAGCAGCCGCAGCCGGCCAACAGGCCACAGCGGTGCTCAGCGGCGTTGGCGTTGCAGCGGCTGCACTCGGCGGCTACAATCCCAATGGCGCGTCCGGTGTCTACATCAAGTACGGCCAGACGTACTTTGCGCATGTGAGTAGAGTCTGAAACTAGAGTCCTGCATCGTTTTGGATTCATTTGCATCATACTCGAATACTCAATCAAACTAAGAGAGACTCAAACTTTCGACTGTCGAGCTAAGTGCCAAAACCGAAGACCCTTCATACAAACGAAGTTCGATCTCAAGCAGATCGAACATCGATCGGCAACATGTTCCAGCTAACATGTACAATCAAACCAAAAATAGCTCAAACATAAAAGAATTAATCCAGTTGCGAGCGAGCTCGAGTCAAAAGAGTATGGAGTATACGAATGATGTTTTTGTTGACTCGATGCAAGGCTTTATTTGATATTCTACGGAAAAGGTGTGCTAATTAACTTTCCTTTCTTTTTATTCAGCCCTCGGTGGCCTTGCCCAACAGTCGACGTTCGCCCTCGAGCGATATCCGACCGCAGATGGCACAGGTTGCCGGCATGTATCCCGCCACAATGATGATACAAGGTGAGAGAAGAAACCCGAAAGGAAAAAAATATATTTAAAATTGGCATGACGAGCAAACTATTATCAGGAAAATCTTACACACTAGTGTATCTCGTATATGTGAACAATTGTTGTAAGCAACTTTAGACCAAATCATTTTTACCAAAAGGACTGCCTCGATTCATATAAACGAAGGCTAAACGAATGTTGCCATCTTTTGCGTTGCCAGATTTTCAATAAATGGAAATAATTGACCAAATAAAGGGTCACACTCTTACATCTTAAATTAAAGCTTACAGAACAGGGCATAGTCAGAAGGACATGCCAATTTTGATTCTAACTAACAACTAGAAATAGTATATGTACTTTTATAGAATCAAGTGAAGTTATCTAATCAATTTTCTCGTCTCCTTTACAGCACCTCCACGTCATCCAAGTCGTCATCCGAATCCGAACTACAAAGGTTCGCGTCCGCGGTAAATCTGCCGCCCATTGAACAACTGGCGGATGCGCGCACCTTAAAATACACACAAAAAACAAAAGAAACAAAAAACACAAAAAAAAAACAAACGAAAAAAAGTACTACATAAACATAACGGCATACCTAAGATAAATATAAATAGCAACCTAATCTAGTGGAACATAATGTAGTTGACAAAAACAAAAGAAAGCAAGAAGAAGATGAAGAGGAAACAGATAAAAGTGAAAGAGAGAAAGAGTGAAGAAGTAGAAAGTAGTTGATGTAACAGAGGGCGAGTACAGAGCATAGGAGCAAAAGGCCGCGGCGAGTTGGATGGTAGCAGCAGAGCAGACTATGGTGGTTGGCGTGAGGGGGTGGGGAGTGGGGGGAGAGGGGGTTGCTGTTTAGCAGCTAACGGGACTGCAAGCTGAACAGGCGCGTTAATGCAACAAAGTGTAAAACAATTGTTAAAATCTTCCGCAAACAACTAAAAAAAAAAAACAAAAAAAAAAATCAGCCGGTAAAAAAGCAAAACTTAGCAAACTAGCTCGAGTTAAGAAATTGTGTAGAACAAAAACAAACAGTAAAAGAAAGAAGAAAAAAAAACAACAACAAGAACAACTACAACCAGAAAAAAAATGCTGTATATTTTGTGCCATTAAAAAATAGTCTTTAAAAATATATATATACATATGAAAAAAGCAAATCGAGTACCGAAGAAGCAATAATTGAACACAACGACGGCGAACTGGAACGGAACAACCAACCCGGACTGCGCTCCTGACGGACGAAAAAGGAACTATACTAAGCTAGAGAATAAACCGTTATATGTTGCTTTAGTGCTGGCAAATGCAGCATAGCCAGTTGACCGCTACGCTTAAAGACTGACAGTCGTGTCCGATCGTACAGGCAAACCTCAGACGTACAGTAGCTTCCGTTTGAAAGTCCCCCAAAGCTGTTATCGTAAAATATCATAATAATATGTATTATAATTGAAATAATTGTCATTTTGCTTTGGTGTGTTTAATTGAATGCGTTTTAATTATGTTAGAAATCTCAACCAAAAGTGAAGCAAAACTCCAACAGAAATGACAGACAGCACAGACACCCTACACTTGGCTCGAAACGAGACTGCTGCCACTATTTTACTGTGGGCGTGGCTAGTACTATATATATACCTATTTTGTATGGCAAAATTTGTAATTTGTAAAGCTCTTCGAGTTAATCTCACAAGAAAAAAAAAATAAGAACGAAAACTCTCGAAAAAAACATCAATTCTGTTTCAAAATCAATATAATTTTGTTATTGAGTCAAATTAAATAAATATATATATATATATATTTGCCTATTACCAATTAAATGATGATAAATTTTGTGAAATCTTTTAAATTTGAATTTCCTTATTATGTTTAGAATTGAATTCTTTATGTTTTCTTTATAATTTCTGTTCCTTACGGCAAAGAAGCTGCAAACACACACACACACACACACACACATTACACACTTTAATTTTCGTTATTAATCATAAGAGGAGTAATATTGAAATATAAAAATATAAATATAATCACATCAGAAATGAGAAATGAGAAAGAAATTGCGGTACGTAAGAGCCAAGCAGCTATACATTTATTGTTAAACAAAATAATTAGCTTAGCGTATAAATTACATATGTATATGTACCATTTAATATATATAGGCAACTGAAACCAGAAAAACTAAATAAAAAAAAAAAAAAAAAAAATTACAAAAAAAAATATGTTTAGTTTAAGTTGTGTTTGCTATAATTTTTGTTATACCTATGTTCCATTTTCCATTTCACACATGAAATTTCTATTTTTCTTAGTTTTGTGCTGGATTTTTACTTATCTCCTGCCTTTGTACAACGAAACATAACCTAAAAAAAGATAAAACAGACTATTGGCAAACTTGAACTCAACTTGAAAAACTCGATGTCTAAATGTACATAACAATAATTTACAAATGCAAACCTAAAAGCGCGACTAAACTTTTAGCATATAAGTAGCTTAGGACAGGACGCAAGGACTAAGCATATGCCGGATATATATGCCCATAACATGGCCAGATATTTCTAGCATATATATATTGTGAAAGAAGCAGAACACGTATTTCAAAGAGTTATCACAGTTAGTTATCATTTCGAGCATTGCAATTCTTATGAACACACACGCACACACACTCACCACACGCATACACCTAAACCTAAGGAATAGCTTTCAGAAAGTGCGCTAAACAAACAAATAAATGCTTACATAACCATAGCATATACATACCATATAGTACTATATCTAAAGGCAATACGATAAAATAATTGAACTAAAACGTACCAAAAAATATGTAAGTTAGTGAAAACTGCTCAAGAAACAAAAAGAAAAAAGAAAAGAAAAACAAAAACAATGAGAGGAAAATAATATAATATTGTATAATGAGCACAAAACGTATTGTAACACAGAACACAGAAAACGCTTTGTTGGCAAGTCCCCTAACCAGAAAGTTAGACAGAGACGGAGAGATACAGTTAGCCAGTGTGTGGAAGGGTATCGGATGGTCCTGAGGATCCTGAGGAAACGGAACAGTTTGCTCCTGTTGTGCATTTCTTTGTTAGTTGCTCTGTTTGTTATCAAAAGAAACAAAAACAAAAATCATGTTGAGCGTAAAGTTGAAGGTTGTCGTTATACCAAGAGAGAGAGAGAGAGAGGGAAGAGGAGGAGAGGGTCTACGAGAGAGCGAGGGAGGGCGAGCTGAGAGCGCGGGAATAACCAGATGCAAGATATGGGAAATAAAACAGAGAAATAAGAAATAACAGAAAAAAAAAACAAACAAAATAAAATGATATGAGAACCCTCGAGGGGAATATGTTATACAATATTATTATTACATCATGATTAATCTAACGGTAAAACGCATCGTAATTATAATTTTACAACAAAAATGCGACAAAAAAACAAAAAACAAAAGAACAAAATTCGAACAACAAATCGCACGCAAAGTACTCGTAATATTGATAAAATGAGATAAAGACAAACGGAGTTTTTACCGACGAGCATTACGATAATGATAATTATGATGATAAAACAAAATAAATAAAATGTATTTATTTATTTTAATTTATATATATACACTAGAGAGTTATTACAAATATATATATACATAATGTATAAGGCAAAAACAAAAAAAAAAAAAAACAACAAAACTAAAAGAGTTTAATTAGCTGAAAGTTGGAACAATGGAAATTTGCAGGACTTAAACTGACCTCTACAGGAAAAACTCAGGTATTTATTATTTTAATTAATTTGTTTAATTTAATTTACACTCATTTTTATGCTAAAAATATTTTAATATCAACTAAAAACGAAATTTTTTCTATTGAAATTTTTGATACAAAATTTATATATTAAAAAAAACTTGATTTTCCAAAATTCATATTTCCTTTTTGTTTTAGTTTTGATAAATTTATTGCAGCTAAAAGACAATTAATTATATTTTTGTTGTATTCGAAAGTTTTCGATTACAAATTAATATTTTCAACAAAAACTTTATTTTGGAAAATTTTGTATATTGAAAGTATTGAAACACAAAAATGTATTTGGTCTTAAAATATTTTTTTTTTGTATTTTTATTTCATTTTATTTGTATGTATTCGGGCTGGAAAAAAAACTGGAAATCTGTCACCAAAACCCAACAGCTGTCTCTTAGCCAGAAATCGTGGAGAAAAGTATTTTGACTGGACTCTAGATGGGATATTAGTAAAGGTAAGTACAGACACCAATATGGGGTAGACTTTTGGTAAACAGCTCGAATGGCAACTCTTAAGAGTTAAGCAAAAAGCATAAATTATGGCTGGGTAAACAGGACAATTTGTCTGCATGATTTATTGTGAATGAAAACGCATTGGACGCCCTCAAGGTTATGAGGCTCGGGCATTTATAGAGTCCACACTGGGCACATGTTAACATTGAGGCCATAAAAACAGTTCAAGCAAATAGAATATAAATATATATATATATATATATATATATATATATAAATGTAGATATGCGTATGCAAACATTGTTGCGACCCAATAAGCCAGACAAAATGTAGGGGAATTTATGGGCATTATTTTGGGCAGGTTCCACAGGGCCTGAGGGTAGTTACACAGGACCTTTGAGGTCTTCATAACACGCGCGAGTGAGCCACAAAACAGAGAGAGACTAGAAAGAACAGCAGGAAAACCCCGAATATGGTTTATATGCCACCAACAGTTTTTCTACTCGGACAACAAATTAGCCTGAAATTTTCGTTAAACGCAACTAGGAATGGAACCGCATGCTCCTATCTTGGCAGGGCCATCATCAAGTGGAGACGACCACATTCTGAGCGGCCCATAAATCTGCCAGCTCGCAACCCAAACGCAGCGACAGGTTGCAGCTCAATAAAGAGCCAAATAAATATGATATCGTCTAAAGGGGCCTAAACGAAAAAGAAAATAGTTGTAGAAAAAGGGATGAGTTCATTTAGGGTTCGATTGCGTACAGGTAGCCGCCAACTAGGCAACCTGTTTCACCAAGCCAGCGAGACAATGGCCCAGAAGAAGATGCGACGGCTGCGGCTGCTATTGCGGCCAAAATCAAATGGTCAACGCTTTTGTAAACTGGTGACATTTAAAAATTATGGCATGTAAATGGAAGGCATTCCGGGAAGCGCGTTGACAGCCAAACACGGCCAGGGGCTGGACAGGGGGCTACTGTTAATCAATTTGGTGGCTTCGAATGAAGTTATTTGTGCGGCGATGCGCAGATGGCCCAAAGGATAAGGCGCAGTGAAAGGTTGGCCAAGACATTGGCCCGATAAGCGCAGCGTCTAACTCTATATGTGTATAAATGTGTGCATATATGTATGCGTGTGTGTGTGTCTGCCCCACGGGGCGTATGCGTGTTAAAGCTTTCTACGCTGACGTCGCTGTCAAGCTTTGCGCTCGTGATATATGGGCAGCATTAAAGTGCCGCCTTTGTAATGCGGAGACATCAAAGTGCACACACACACACACACACACACACACACATAGTCAAACATTTGCATACACTACACACACACACACACGTACTCGCATGCAGCGAAAAGCCATAAAAATCACTTTGTACTTTGAGCTTTAGGGCAGGGGGCGGCAGCTACATGAAGGCAGCAGCGCAGCAGCGCAAACTATGCAACAACAACAACAGCAACAACAACAGCAACAACAGCAACAACAACAACAACAACAACAACAGCAGCAGCGGCAACAACAACACAAAAAAAGTGCAATGCAATCAATTCAAAAGCTGCTGCCAGCGCACGGGCAAAATGAATAGAGAAAGAGAGAGAGGGAGACAGAGAGGGAGAGGGGAAGCAAGTGTGTGTGTGGGGGGAAGTCTGTGAGCCTGTCAGCAGACGGCAGGCAGGCAGCATTTAATCCTGCAAAAAAGGCATTGCAAGGCAGCATAAAATGATGATAATCCTTAAATAACGTGAGCGCAACATGAAGGTTGATCGCTGGCAGCGAAGGGGCGCGGCTGCGACGGCGGAGGCGGAGGCGGAGGCGGAGGCGGAGGCGGAGGCTGATGGAGTTCGGAGGCTGATGATGGCGACAGCTAAATGCCAATTGAATGCGAAGCGGCTTTAAGTGTTGGACAGTGTGAAACCAATAGGCAGAAAAAAGCAAAGTGCACAGGGAGAGGCAGATAGAGAGAGAGAGGGCGAGAGAGTGAGTGTGGGGCAGAGCGCTTGAGGCGCTGCTAGTGGAACAGATGAGATGGGGAATGTTTAACGAACTGTCTATTTTTTTTTTTTTTTTTTTTTTTTTTTTTTTTTTGGTTTAAGTTACTTTTATTTTTGCTAATTTTCTGTTACTTTTCACTTTTAGGAACTGTCTATATGTACATAAGTTGTGCCAGTGTTGGGTATTGATAGGGTAAAATATGTTTATGTATTAATGCATGTATTTATACCAGGGCTGCAAACGCGAAAGCTCTTGTTCCGGCTTAAATTTTGAACCATAAAACAACCTGAAGATTCGGTTCATGTAGCTAGCTTTTGGTTCAAGCCTTGGTTTATCGTGTATTTTTTCAATTTTAATGCAACAATTTAGTTTTTAATTTGCCATTGCCCGTTGTACTGAAAATATTGTAAGCACTATATATTTTCATATACAAGATGTGGGCTAAATTATCCCATATATCAAACATGATGCTTTCTGGCTCCACCCATTCAGGATGGCTTGAAGGAAGCTTCAATGTCTTATATTTTAGGCCAAGCCATGGTCAAAAATTTGAAATTGATCTCGTTCGTTTTTCGCTTCGGCTAATTTTGGCTAATTAAATTGGAATTTCGACTTCAAAGCGATTTGGTTCCGAGCCGACTTAGGTGAAAATTAAGTTTTTGCATTTAATTTTAGTTTAGTTTTTCGTGACATTTCAATCTAATTCAAGTTCAAAATATGTTTATTTTTATATGTCTAGGCTTTTTGCAAATTTTATTAGCACAATATAGAGGCTCTATTAGGAAGGAATTGTTAAAATCCAAGTGAATGAACGCTTAAATCTATTCACGTGATTTTTTGGGGCTTTAAGGAAATACGTTTTTTTTAATAAGTCCTTTTTCGTATTTTTATGCAAAGAATATTCAAGTTAAAGCAAATTTATAGTTAATTTTCCTAACAGCTGCTGCCCACGTTTTTCCAATAAGAATTGTTCCAATAGCATTTAAGATTCCAATTCAGCTTCAAGTTGGCGCTAAATTCAACAGAATTGAAATGTGTGTCGTTGAATCTTGAAAATTTAAATAGCTACTCGCTGCTCTTCCGGCACTTCCGGCCCATATCGCATAGCTGGAGAGCTGCCTCAACACGTTGCCCCGAGATGCCAGCGTCGCCCAAATGATGAAAATATGTTGGCAAAAACTGTCAACTGGCAGCCTTTTTTGATGCCGTCAAGCGGTTTGACCCCAAAAAAGTCAAGTGCGCTGCTGCCGCAACAGCTACATTTCCGCTGCTGCAGTGAAGCGCGTAGACGGCAGCAACACATCCACCCACATCATCCAATGGCCAACAGCCGCACGGACTCAACGCCAGATGAAGAGGCTCAAGCGTTAATTTGAGCTCAGTTGACTCTCTTGGGCTGGCACGCGCCGGCGCACTCAATTGGCCGGCTGGTGGTGCGTGCGGCAATAATCTCACTCAAAATGGGGGACACGCTGGGCGAAACTCGTTCCGCGTGTGCTCAGCTAGCGGGTGGGCGTGGCCCATTGAGCGGCCGCCATGGCAACCAATCAACAGACAAGCAGCGAGACGAGCGGAGCCAAACCAGTTGAGCGGGTTTTATTGCTCGACTTGCTGCTGCTGGTGGTGTGTGCGTGCATGTGTGTGTGTGTGTGTGTGTGTTTGCTTTATGCTGCTACCACTCTCGAAACCGGGTCGCCGTCGCCGTCGTCGTCGTCGTCGTCGTCGTCACATCCATGCTGAGCCATGGCCCATGAGGCTAGAGCGCCGGCAGTTTATGCACTGGCCTCGCAGCTGTAACAACGTGTGTCGCTCGTGAGCTGCCGCAGCCGCTCGTCGTTGTCCGTCAGCAACAACAGCAAGAACAACAACAACAACAACAACAACAACAGTTAAAGCAGCAACAGCTCGACTGAGAGCCGCAGTTCGTACACCGTCTTACAATCCGCAGCCCAACTGGCGTCTGTTATCGCGCCACGCGTTCGCGCCGTTTGATAAGGCGGCCCGTTGCGAGTTTTAGCGTCGGCAAAAAATAAAGCGTTCAAATTATTCACAATATACAAAAATATCTAAAATATTGAAATCGTAAAGAAACAAAACGGAAATCGCAATTCAAATTGAGAAAAGAAGAAGTTACAAATCCAGTGAACAATTTTTCAAAATTTCATATGTGCTAAATCAATAAAAAAGTGTTGCCGTCAATTATTTGCAAATTCTCCTAGGTTTTTGCACAACAGTATTCAGATAATCATATATATTCACATTTATACACTCATCTATATACTCAATCAATTCGCATGCATTTGTTGCCATTTGTTGGTCGCTTGACCAACTGATCAAGTCGTCAAAACATTTTCGCTCCGATCTGCATTTATAGATCGAAAAAAACAAAACAAAACAAAACAAAACAACAAAAACCAAAAGCTGGCTAAATAATTTTTGTGCAAAAGACTTGGATTAAAAATCGCCAAAATTGTGGAGGCAATTAAAATGAAGGTAAGCTTTAGTCTTTATTTAAGTGATTATCAGAATACGGGGAATTGATGATCTTTGTAGATATGCGAGGAGCATTAATCTCATCTTTGCTGAAGATATTTCAAGCGAAGAATTGCTAGACAAAAAGTCTTTCCTTTGAGCCATACCTCTTGATGATATAGTAGTACGATCTTGCTAAGATTTATCTCATGAAGAAGAATTTGATTACACATTTCATAATATTACTATAATACCCTCCTTAAAGGGTATAATATAGCTAAGGGCTGGGCTATCTTATTGAAATATTAGTTGATTAAAATCCCATAATTAGATATATATAGGATACTATATATTTTTCACTTCGAAAATCTACCTTTAATTCAAAGATACGAAAGATATATAGAAAGATAGAAAGATAGATACTTTTGAGATACTTTTGCAATTGTTGAACTAGTTACTTATGGGCTTAATTTCCTAACCAAAGTTTACTGATATCTCTTCATCTTTTGCCTTGATAAATATGTAGAACAATTAAATATTAACAAAAATATTTGTTAAATGGGTTTGAAAGTGATTTGATATTTGCTTAAATAAAAAAATCACATACTTAACGTTAAATTATAATTTTAATGGATTTGAATTGAATTGAATATATTATTAGCAAATCTTAAATAATATAAAAGTAATATGAATAAGAGTATCAGTGACAGTAGATCTTGGCTAGGATTCGAACCTGCCTAACTGGGTCACTGAGACAGCTCGCCAGAAAAATACCCAGTGAATACCCCTTATTTATTTTTCAAAAGGCAATATCCTAAATAAAATCAGTTTTTACATAAAACATCCTTTAATATTTGTGTAGGCTAAGGTTGAAAATCTTACTTACAATAAAGCTTGGCTGATATAACAGCACATCCCTGTAACCTGGGATTCGAACCCGATTGACTGGATAAGAGAGATTATACTCGAAACCTTGGAATGCCCATATTTAACTCTATATTTTTAGAAAATTCAATATTCGAAACAAAAAGCTTACTTAGATCTGATATATAACATACTAAACGATCTAGTCGAAAATCTAGCTGATGGATCTTTTGAAAAACAATCGATTAAGTAGTTTAAGATATCATTAGGTATATTTGCAGTTTAATATCAAATTTTGGGCATAACTAATTTGTAATCCCGTCATATTTCAGATTAAATGAAATGTTTTTGGCTGATGATATTTGTCTAAGATTAAAGTAAAATCTCGTAGTTATCAAATTGTTTTGAAATATTTTCCTTCATATTATTTTCCAATACGCCTACGCACATTCAACGTAAATGTTAAATGTATAATGCCTTTCCTTATAGCTCTTTTAATTGATGCACATGTAAGACCTTTTCGGTTGACCTACAAAACGTGCTGAATAGATATTGAACCAAAAACCCGCTGGGACGCAACAGGCGGCATAAAGTAACAGGCAGGATGAGAAGGGGCGCGCAGGGCTCGGAAAGGGGGGGATACGATCTGTGCTATATCTAAAACAATGGGCAATGGGGCAATTCAGAGCCAAAACAGCTTTGCTGGACAAAACCGTACTAATAACTTTGGAAAACGATGAGTTTTCAAAACAGACGAGACGACAGACGCCCGCGAGTCGGTGAATATTAAAAGCACCACAAATCGCGCCATGGGGTGCAACATGGGGCATTGTGATATGGCAACACGGATTTCTATTCGAATATGACGACCATGTCAAGCCCACACGTTGAATTATGGAAGCGGTTACTTTAGGCCTAAAGAGGGGCCGGGCAGCCTGCAGTTGGAGCATTTTTTCATAGGCGCGTTTATCATTAGCTAACAATTTTTAATTTCTAAATCTTGTGGGCCTTTCAGGCTCATGACATCGCTCGAATTCAAATGTTCATTCAAAACTCGGCAACGAGTTTTTATTTATTTTATAAATTTAATCGAATTTTACGTGGAAGATTTGCCGTAACTCAGTTATACACAAAAAAAAAAACAGCCTGAAATCTGCATGGAATTCATAAAATCTCATTTCCAAAAGGAATTTAAGGCTCTTCTACTTAACTTTCCTTTTTCCTTATAGAAATTATGTCTAAATGTCAATTCGTAATAATACGATTTTGTTTTGAATGGCTTAAGTTTTCTAAAATGTAAAATGATTTTCTTGACTATATAGTCAGAATCAAAGTCAAAATATAGTCAGAAAGTTCGTCGAAAGTTCGTTCGAAAGGTAGAATATGTATTTTCTTAAAGAAAAAGTTGTTAACAAATTAGAAAATATTTTTGAAAAATCAAACTTATTAAAAAGTAGAATATATATTTGATAAATTTGATATATTCAATGTTTCAGAAATGCTATGACGGCTTGGCGAGCCTTTAAGAAACCTTTTTTTGAGTGTATTTAAGTGTTGTATATTATGTTTTTTGTTTTTGGTTTTTTGGATGCCACCCGCTGTGCGCTTTGTGTGAACTCTGACGCAAGTGCTGAGCCACCCACAGGATTCAATGGAATATAATGTAATGTAAAATGTTAAATATTGGACATGGGACAGCCATGAGTTGGCTCTTTCGCAGCCGCAGCGCCGATCGACATGATTTATGCTTCAACATTTTTTTATATATTTTTTCGTTTTTTTTTTGTATTTTGCATGGCTTTGTCCATAAACATAATTTTCATTACCATAGCAAATTAGACAAGGTGCTGACGCTTATTGGGCCGCCACAAAAAAGGTCAAAATGTGTTATAAATTTGAGCAAAGTTTTTACACATTTTTGGCGGCAAGCTGCCGCAGCTTAGCCAATAATTGAGCTAGGCCTAAGCGAAGCCCACGTAAAACCAATTCGAGCAGATGAGCGCATGCGGCTAAATAAATACTATGCTTAGTCTATGCTATATGCTCTATTGGCCAGGCCTTTAATAACTGTCAATATGCACAGCGGGAGATCTTAGAGAAAAAGCCGCAGCAGCGCTTACAACACGGCTTCAAATCAAATGTCAACAGTTCTAAGCCGCAACTGGACAAGTATGAAGTCGGGCCTAAGACCCTTTTCTAACTTGACATCATCGATCTTGTCCCGCCCCAGTTCTATAGATTCCCCTCCGCCCAAGCCAACACGAGAGCTCAGAGCCCCCCAGAGCTATGACGCCACAGAGCGCAGCTTATGAATATTCAATAAATGTGTTTTTTATATTTTTTATTTTTTATTCTGTCGAGCTGAGAAAGAGCTGGAGAAAAGGCATAAATACTGAAGCGCTTAAATGTCGAATGTGTGCAAAGCAACTATAAAATATACATATTTCAATAAATGAGTTTTCATTAATAATTCACTAGGAAATTCAAAAATGTATACAAAAAAAATTTCTACTAAAAAGTTGTTAACGCCTCCCAAAAAAAAAATGATGAACATAAAAAAATCCCAACAGCACGCAGCATGTTTTCCTTAATTGAGAACTATGCGATAAGTTATAATTAACTTGGCATCTGAACGATCTTGACTTTGGCTTCAACTTGAACAATTTGTCTTCAATATGTCACTTGGGGCGCTTCCAGTTGTGGCAAATTCTTTGCACTGCATCAAATTTAATATTCGGCTTATAAAATCTGGTATTTCGGCATGACTCAGCATTAGGCAAGTTATTGATTTTCAAATGGATTTAATCCTACTGCAATCCTATTTAAATATATATGTTATATATATTAACGATACTAAAGCTGTCACTTAACGCATTCCGGATACGGCAAATTCCTGATAAGCTAATAAAAACTGAGAGGTGCGCTTGGTTTGGGTTTGGCTTAGAGTTAGGCTAGGTTAAGTTAGGTTAGATTAAATAAGGCTATGCTACGACTCACAAATCATATATAAACCTAGGCTAAAACATTCTATGAGCTATTGAATTGGGATACTGCTTGAAGACTGATTCAAAATGTTATGAGGTAATGCTTAAATAGGAGTTTTGGTATTGTTTAAATGGGATTTCATTAGTGTGCTTAGAGGTATATTAGGACCTGTTAATCACAGGTATTAATTTTAATATGCGCTGGAAGCGATCATCGTCTTCTGATCCTTACCAAGTGAAATACTGGGATAAGGTTATACTTACAACTTCTGGTAGCTGCTATGGTAGTTACTTTAAAGTATTTACAATTAAGGGGTTAAGTGGAGTTTTCATGGAATTCACCTCGTAGTAAGATTGCAGGGTTGTCAACTTTAAACAGAAAGCAAGATCTTCAGATTAACTAACAGTCTAACAGTCAGAAAAGACTCAATAATTTTCTTACAGTGATAAGATTCTACTGTCCTATGGCCTGAATGTGCATTATGTGCTTATTACAACATCTACTTAAACTACAAAAGATGCATTCAGTGCGCAGATCTTCGGCTGAAAATGCAGCACAACGCGTGCCACGTTCTCGAGAACGTTTCGAATGACAACTTTGAGCTGGCAGCTGCTTGGTCAAGCGGCTTGCCCACAGATTTCTGGTGGCTCATAATTGGATTGGCAACAATGTCCGGGCGGCAAACTAATGTCTAATTGACAACTGCGGCGTGGCGTGACAATGCTGACAAGAAGTCTACGCCCGGCACCGGAACAATAGCCAAAAAGAAGCGAAGAAAAGAGAAGAAGCCTCTAAAGGCCAAAAATGCATCTTGACTTGAGCCAATTGCCCCGATCAGGCACAAAAGACAAACAAATATCACACCTTTGTTTATCCGAGAGACAAAAGAAACAGAAACAGAAACTCGAGTGGCAAACATGCATCCAGTGGTCAGTTACAGATCCTGCGCTGGGTTGCGCATGCGCGCCTGCAATTTGTATAGCTCTCCCTCTCTCTCCCTCTCTCTCTCTCTCTACTGTGCGCAACGTGTCGAAGTCACGGGCTGCATTTTTAGCAGGTAAATGTGAAAATTCCCAAAATGAAAATCAAATGCCAGACGCCAGCCGGCAAGAGGCAACAAAACGGGCGACCGCACAATAGAAAAATGTGAATCGCCCCGAAGTGCATGTGCT